TTGTTGACTGCTGTTAATCTAAAGATGTTTGATCTTTAGATCTTGCCTATCTCTTTCCCCTGAGAACACCTATATCTGGCAGCTGTGCAACTCCAATCCTGAGCTCTGAGCCACACTCTGAGAGTTGAGGATTTTCTCTGAAAGGTAGTATTTGGGGGTTAGCCAGAGACATGCATATGCCACACTCAATTAGTGCTGTTACTCTTCCTAATGATCATGATCACTGTAAGCATTGTAAGCCCCTTCTATTGTTCTCTCAGGGTGTTACATCTGCAGCTGTTGATGGGCTCTACAATGAGTACATAGGGGATGCAGACAGCCCTGCTCAGGTGCGAGATGGCCTTCTGGATGCACTGGGAGATGTCTTCTTTGTGTTTTCATCCATTGAAGTGGCTAAATTCCACAGAGGTAATGCAGCATCAGTAGAAGAAATGTAGAATTCTCACCCGGGCTGTGGTGTGGACAGTATGTGTCACACTTCATTACCCAAAGAACTGATATTTACTGAACATTTAACCAAAACAGCTGGTAGTGAAAGTTTATCCTCTTTGGTGGCTCTCAGACTAACACTCTTCCCTGTCTACCAGATGCTGGCAACCCAGTCTACTTCTATGAATTCCAGCATCGACCAAGTGAAGCAGAAGGTGTTTTACCAGACTTTGTAAAAGCAGATCATGCATCCGAGATCGCCTTTGTCTTTGGAAAGCCATTCTTAGCTGGTGATGTATCCATGCTTGCTAAAGTATTCCTTTTAAAGCATCCTTATTGCTCATTTTACTTATTGGAGGACTTTAGAATACACTTTCTCTCTTACAAATATTCTAAGAAACACAAAAATTTTCTGTCTTTAGCAGTAGATACTTTTAATGAAATCACTCATGTGCAGCTCTGTCCCAGAGCTCTGCTCAGGTAAAACTGTCATAGCTCAGAGCAACAGGTAGAACTGACTACAGCCTATTGGAATTGGTAGAGCTGCTACTAATTATCCAGTTTCTAATGCTGCCATTTCATCTCTCACTTTGCAGGACATGCTACAGAAGAAGAAAATAAACTTAGCAGAACTGTTATGAAATACTGGACTAACTTTGCTAGAAATGGGTGAGAATCATAATGCTATTTACAGCTCAAGTTTGGTCTGTGCTGCCTGAGACATGCCTGAAGCAGTACTTGTGTGGCTGTTCCTAGAAATTTGGCAGAATTTAAGATAAATATTGAAGCAAATTATTTCTCTTCTTAATGTCTTTTAAATGAACCTGCAGACACAAAAAGAAAAAAAAAATAATCCAAGATCTAGAACTCCATCTGCAATGGAGTTTTAGATCCAAAAGTAATGGCAACTATTAAACTTCTGCTGTTCTGCTGAGGAGCATTTTCATAAAAAACATCCAACTATTCAGGGACCAGAATCACATAATCTGAGCTCGTGTTAGTTTTCTGAAATGCTCAACCCGAGCAGCCAGAGGGCAATGACAGGCAAATGGAAAGCTAACTTTCCCTTCTGTTATTTCCAGAAATCCCAACGGAGAAGGCTTGGTCCATTGGCCTCAGTATGATCTGGATGAGAAATACCTGGAGATAGACCTGAACCAAAAGGCAGCACAGAAATTCAAAGAAGGCAAAATGAAGTTTTGGACACAGCTCATGAAACAAATGATGAGTGAAAGGAGAGCACACACAGACCTGTAAAAGCTGCAGAGGGTACAGTTTGCTTTCAAAACCCAAAGTAAAGTCAAATAAAATTAGTTTGTCAGGATGCAGAGTTATAATCACCTTCTAACTCACTATCATGCAATCTGTTGTCCTGGTCACAGTGAAAGGAGAGAAACAAGGGAAATCTGGAATGTTTGTTGGACTAAAAATCACTATTTAATGGACCAAGCAGAAAAAACCCCCCACGATCTTTCAGGCTCAAACAGACCACAGTATCTACTCAGTGGATATCAAAACTGAATAATGAGGAGGGAATTGGCAAATAAATTGAAATCTGTAAGAAATTATTTATACAGAAAATATTGTAAGTGTCTGGCTACCTTTTATGCTTACTCCCCTCTTCTTTCAGAAGAGCATGGTCAGTTGTCCTTCTTACAGCCTCTTTCCACTTTCTTTAATTGGAAATAGCTTGTAGGGAGCAGAGCATCCATCAATCTACATCTGTGAGATATCCTCAGCATCTCTCAACTGAGGACAGAAAATCTCTACTTGTTTTATTGGTTTGTGAATTGTTATATAAATAAGTGTTGCTTTTAATTTTTTTGGAACTTCCTTTTCTTTCATTTAACTGACACAGGCTCATTCCAAGAGGTTAAATCACACCCAGGAAGCCAGAAAGGTGCCCAGTTTCTTTCTTCAACCTGAAGGGTCTCAGGTATGAGTTTTTCAGGTTTCTTTGCAGAACCTGAGTCTCAAGGCTCCAGGGTTGACACAAACTATTCTGTGGTGTGATTGTGTGTTCTTCAGCCTGGCAAATTCCCAGTTCACTGGCAGGAGGGAGGAAGCACTGCTGGCAGGACAGACCCCACTGAGGCAGAGGGAGAGCAAAGGCTGCTGCTGTTGTGCACTGCATGGTGTTGGCTCAGCATTGTCCACGGGCCCTCAGAGAGGAGACCTGCTGATGTGCAAAATGCACCCCCAGTCTTCCACCTTCCAAGGGCACCAGCAGCTGTGACCACATTTGTGGCACATCTGGAACATGTCAGGGCACACAAGTGGTGAAGTGGCTTTTTTGCAAAGTCACATGACAAGCAAGAGACACTTGCCAGGCACAAAGGAACAGGCAACACAAGCATCCAGGAATCCACAAGAACTCTGCTCATAACAAGAAAAAAACAGCAATAGAATAGCTCTAAATAAAATAGCTCTAAATAAAATAGCTCCTTTAACTGGTGCCAGGCTCCCCCTGCCATCTCCCACAGCACCCCACAGCCTGTGGCTGCTCCTCCCAGGAGGGGCTGTCACAGTGACACAACTGCCTGCAGATGTTGAATTCTAGTAGATGTTTTCTTCTTCCTCCTCCCCTCTGGGTTCACTTGCACTTGCTTTTACACCCCGGTGGACCTTGAGCAGTGGACATGCCTGGACATGCCCTTCTGGGCATTTTTTTTTCCCCCCTAACTTGAAAAACATCCCAGCTGCTACCATTACTTGCAAAAAGCCATCATTAAGTAATTGCAGCAACCATAGTGCTGGACATTTTATTCCTCCCCTTGATTTGGTCTGAAATAGCCTTTGTGTCCATTATTGGTTTGTTAGTTGAACCACTGTTTCTGTCCTTGTAGGTTCACAAAAATCATTTTCTTAAACCAGATAAAAGAAGTCCTGTGTGTTTGGGAATGCAAAGTCATAAGTATAACACCTGTGGGAAAGGGAGCCCTGGTATTTTATTAGGCACATATGATAACAAAGGACTTTCTGACTGTGAGAAGAAGCATTTTGTCCATGTGTCCTCTTTAAAATCCAAACATAAAGAATGGCACAGTGTCAAACAGCTGAGAAAGGAGTAAAGGAGTAATAGCACAGCCACGATGTGTACGCTACCATTAAGCAGTAGGTTCCTACATTATATTCCAAACCTCATTTTATTTTATAGCTTTAATATTAATGGTACTTGGTACAGATACCCAATTCGGCTCAAGGTAACAGTG